TTTTTTTTTTTTTTTGAAAGGATTAAGGTTTGGGAGTTATAATTTATTAGAATCCGTATTTCAGACAAGAACAACTTCAAAATCGTTAATTATGGTACCAAACTGAATGGTTCTGGTTTGGTTCTATAATTCAAGTTGAAATTGACTCTTCTATAATTTCAAGATATCCCATTATTCTCGTCTAGTTCAGTTCTTTTCGGACCAGACCACGGACCTAAAGGTCAAAGAGGGTATTATGAAGAATTAAAAGTTCAACACTAAATTGCTACAAAGTAAATAGATTCTATTGTTTGTTGCAAATTCAAAATTTTCTTGTAGTTATAAAAATTTCCAAATGACCCATGATTGGTCATGCATTATTCACCTAAGAACTGCCTCTTTTTCTAGGGATGATTGCAAGTTGAGCATTAATGGAATTATCTTTTCCAAACTATAATCATAGCCATCCTACTTTCCAATTTTCATTGGGTTTCAAATATTCTATTATTGATTTTGCCTTAATCCTGCTTGTACATGCCCACGAAATAAATTCTTCACTAATAGAGTAATGTTATTTGTAAACGGTGCTTACACATCACCAATCCGTGTAACAATAAATGTTACATTTTTCTATAAAAATAATGTCATCTATGTAAACTTGGCATACAACCATAAGTGATAATCCCAAATTTGTCGAACAAAACAATATGCGTTTGAGTTTTGATTGGAATTCTAATTCAAGTGAACAAAGAATAAGCCTAGATAATTGATAAGTCATCTTTAAAATGTATGAAATTGGACTCTTTGTGGGCACCAGTATGACAACTCTTGTACCCTGCATGCACATTCCATGATTTACCTTCTCCACGATGCTTTAGGGACGGGGCGGTGGGAAACCCTCAAGGTTGGGGTTCAACCCTTTTTTTTTTTTTTTAAAGTAGGGACATAGATTCCATTTAAGATGATATATCAATTAATGCCATGTTGGCTAATGGTAATCCACAATTTAGATAAGCATTATTCATGGTCTAGTCATTCAAGCTAACTAATTACAAGTTTAACAATAATTAGAGTCGATATCAAAATCTGTTGAGCTGAGATGGCTGCATCAACTCTATGGACAATCAAATAGAATGCCTTGAAAGTGGTAAGGTGTACTTATGAAGGGAATAGATTAATATATTGTAGCTACTCTTTTCATATATAACTTAAATAGAATTTGAAAATATGTAATCACTACACCAGAAACTGCCTTTTGCAATGGGCGAAAAATGTTGCCATAGGTCTTTTGCAGCGGCCAGACGTATGTTGTGGCCTTTGATGTTGCCGTAGAGTTGAAGGTCTTTTGCAACGGTCAATGAACGTTGCCAAAAACACCTTTTGCAACGATCATTGAACGTTGCGAAAAATGTTTTTTGCAACGTTCATTGACCGTTGCAAAAAACATTTTTCACAACGTTCAATGACCGTTGCAAAAAAGGATTTATTTATTTATTATTATTTTTTTTTTGTAGTGGCTTGCCTGCCTCCGTAGCCCTTCTTGTCCCCATTTTTTTTTTCTATTTTTAACATTGACCAACAAAAGTAGGTATTTTTGACATTGACCAACAAAAGTAGAAAGAAACATCATATTTTTATGCATAAGTATTTTAAGATTGTGAAATTAAAATTATAACTTCATTATGAAACATTTAATCCGTACACAATAAACATAGACTACGTACTATTTATTCTTAATACACAATAAAACATTACAATACAGAAAAGATCACGAAGCTGTCTAAGTTTTGCTTCTTCCCCACTAGCTTCTTCATCAAAACTCTCAATCCTCTCTTTGGACTCTTCAATGGGGGCTTTTCTTTCTTTACTCTAGCCAAATCTGTCGTTTACTCTTTCAGAGCACCCTACAAACAATGATTAAGACAAGTTAATACACAAGACATTATAAAAATAGTTGATGCAACAGTTTAGTTCTTAAGATAACCAATCGCACCATCAGCAACAAGCAGCCATTATTAAAGGCATTGGCGCCGCACCTTTAAGAGTAGTGACAAAAACTAAGTTAAGCTTTTTTAAGAACTTAAAATTTAGGCACAAAACTAATGAATTCCTCGAGCAGCTAGTCCGTGTATGTACTGAATAAAGAAGATAAAGATAGATTTCACATCTTATGCATTTTGAAACAACTATAACAGGGAAGAAAAGCAAAGAAAGATAAGCAAAATGAAGTTGCTGGAATAGTTGTAATCTGTTAAACTTAAAAGGAATGGAGAATAAATACTTCCTTTATTATCTGTGGCCAGATAACACCAGATTAGGTTCATTTCGGTGATGATAAATTTTCTTTCTAAGTGTCGTCACGCTCTCGAAGGCAAGGTATATTGAAAGAACTAAAACAAAAACAACCAAAGACATGAAATTGAAAGAAAAGAAAAGAACGCTTAATTGACAAAACATTCCCAGACAACATAATCAACACTGGTATTTCCCGCAAATTCGATTAGCTCTTATTGAAAAAGGGCAAACAAGTAAAACATTAACCTTTCAAATTTTAGAATTGACTAATTGAAAATGCAAGTGGTTAGTATGCACACTTAGATCTCAAACGTTAGCATCTTTAATCAATCTTCCTATGCTGTTGCTAAGTAGTATCCCCACTTCCTTCCCCCTCTCTTCTTTTCTTGATCAAACAAAATACTGCATGAATGTTGGAACTATTGGAATCATCTCTAATTAGCCAGCAACAAATCCCAAGACAAGCAGAATAACTGGAATTTCCATGAATTCAAAAGTTCAACATTCGTTTAAGTTTAAATCATCTATCTTATATAGTAGCAGAAACAATATATTTTGCTCAGGAACTTCTTGTCAAGTAAATAGGAATCATTTTTTTTCACCATATCATATTTAGAAGTGATACCAATACAAATAGCAAATACAGCAATCACATACAACTGCAAGAAGAAGACAAAGATACTATCAAGAAAACTCGTACCAGTCGATATAAAAAAAAAACACAAAACCATAAAAAATTATATTCATGTTTGCTAAATATATTCACGTGGCTCAATACCACTAAAAAGTAATACGTAGTATGATAAAAGTTTGCTAAATATATTCACGTGGCTCAATACCGAACTAACATAAATAGTGAAATGCAGCATTACACAGGTTTCTCCAAGACATAATATAAATGATCAACTATAACCTTGATAATTGAAATAATCATTCTTCATCAAAATATGTAAAATATATATTAGTATGTTATCATTGAAAATATTCAACATGTATTTATTGGTTCTTAAAACACAAGTAATGGAGCAAACAAGGATAGTCATGGGCATAACACTTAACAAACCAACTGATCTACACACCTTGCAGGAAGGTCATACGCATTAGTAACTTTTGCCATCCCTGTTCGGCAACCATCCTGTAAAGGAGAAGCATACTTTCTACCTCAGTTCAGATTTGGACATAACTTCCAATGAAGCCTTTTATTTTAAGGAGTGAAATGGCAGGTCAAAATTCTTCAAGATACCGCAATATTGTCACATGATTTCCCAAAAAAAAATGAATATTACTAGTAGTTTTAAAAATTATTATACGCATTCAGCATACCAATGGTGCACAACTTAAATGTGAGCATGTCTAAGTAGCTTACTAATGTAGCACATTCTTCTGCCAGACGAGGTCCAGCTGCAGCATGCAAACTAGAACTGCTGTGCGCTTCATCTAAGTTATGTCACAAAAATATGTAATAATCAGGAGAAGTAGCCATCTCCAAAACATATGCTTTGAAGCAATCAAATGTTGGGCAGTAGAAGATAACACCAGATTAGGTTGCCTTCGAGGAGTGTGACGACACCAGATATCACAAATGAGACCCCCTAGAATATACTTCCAATTTTCTGCGAGAAGGTTGATTTCGGTAGTGATTTCCGCACAAAATCTCTTCCACAACTACTCATCAACAAAAACACAACAAAAAATCAATAAAACACCCCCAAAAGTAGTATTAATCAAACTAACAAATAAATTAAAATAAGAAAAATCGCTGAGAGAAAGTGCAGAGGAAAAACGAACCTCATTCTCTGTAAAGAAAGAATTCTCTATTCTTCTCAAATTTCACTCATTAATTAATCAGGATTCAAACTAAATAATTTCTGTCAATTACCTATCCCAAGATCCGTCAGAGTAAAACCTAGTTGTCAATTTCCTCCGTAGCTGGCTCTGGAGCTTCGGGGGCTACCAGCGGCGGAGACCCATTAGAACCTAGATTTTTCCCAGCACTTACAGGACTTTCAGAAGGTTTCTCATCCTCCACTGTAACAGCAGCAGCTACTTCGGACCCCTCATTAGCACCGGCAAAAATGGGTACCAAATACTGAAGCTTTTTCGAGGGTCTCATAGAAAATTCGGGCTTGTAGAATAACTGGGTCTTCTTTACATGAGGAGGTGAGAAAGTCGTGAGGTGAGTAGAAAGAATCGATGAAAACATGGCACTGTATTGCCTACGAGGGAGAAGAAGAGAGAAGAGGGAGAGGCACAGGCAGAGATGAGAAGAAAGAGAAATTAGGGCTAATGAAATTGATAAATTTTGTGAAGGTGTGGGACTTTTGGGCTTTCACAACGGTCAACAAAAATGAACGTTGCTAAAGCACACATTTCGCAACGTTCAAATGGATGTTGTTAAAGGACACCTTTCGCAACGGTCGATGAACGTTGTGAAAGGTATCCTTTAGCAACTTTCATTTGAATGTTGCGAAAGATCACATTTCGTAACGTCCATCGCCCGTTGCGAAAAGTGAGACTTTTGGCAACGTTCTCTGACCGTTGCAAAAAGTGTTACTTTTCGTAACGGTCAACGAACGTTGTAAAATATCACTTTTTGCAACATACATTTGAAAAACGTTGTCAATAGGTCATTTTAGCAACATTTACTCACACGAACGTTGCAATTGACCATTTTAGCAACATTCAATCAATGAATGTTGCATTTTACGTGTTGTCAAAGCCCATTTTTGTTGTAGTGGTGGCATCGAGAAGAATGCAGTCCTATGGATTCACACGAAAGTTGCAATTGACCATTTTAGCAACATTCAATCAATGAATTTTGCAATTTAAATGTTGCCAAAGCCAATTTTTGTTGTAGTGAATAGAACTCAATTACATTATAGTGCGTATATGAATATTGTTGAAACATGTTGTATTCATAGTTTTCATAGAGTATCTTCATGATTGATTACTAATTGAACTTTTTTTAATTATGTCGTGTAGTGAATGGTAGTTATTTCTTAATCGAAAAATTCTCTGCCACTTAAACTAATAATGATTATCACATAAAATAGATATCATTGTTTTTACAATAATGTTATTTAACACCACACGTTTAGGTAGCACTAATGTGACATTAAATAAGTGCTACAATTAAATTATCCACTTAACTGCACCTCTCATTAAGTTTATTACATCACGCCAGTTAAACTAGTATTGTAGCACCACTGTTGCTAGATATCATTATTCTTATTTTTATTTTTATATTAATGATGAGAAATACTTTTCATCATTAGTTGTGTTGAACACGAGCCTCAGTTGTGATCATTACCCCGTTTATGTGACAGTAGCCCCATTTTTCATTGTTCAACAAATAAAAATGCATTCCAATTTCATTAGTCAATGTAACTGGCACACCACTCACGAGTTACGACAAATAACATAGCTTGTTTAAATGTCTCAAGAGTGAGTTGAGATATCCTAATGAAAATCAATTGTGATTAAAGAATTAAGATGAGGGAGGAATGTTTAGTGGAAACACTTCAATTCCCATCTCTTTTTTGGTGCAATATTCTTCTCTTATATTAATCAGCTTGGAAAATACACCACATCACTTTTGACTTTAATTTGAATAGAATATTTATCTTGATTAACCAAAAAGGTATTATATAGGTTTTGCTGATAAACGGTTTAAAGCATCCACAAATATAATATATGTACACACATATAGAGCAATGGACAACTCCAGATTTTATTTTCAAGTTTATGTTTTTCAGATATATGTTATGCAACCATAGCAAGACTAATTATAGATTTTGCTCATGTTTGACTGTCTCCACCTTGATGTACTCTCTCCTTTTCATTACTATTTGATGCCACCAAAAAATCGAGAGTCGTCACTGTCATTAATGAAACGTTGAAATAAGTAGATGTTGAGGATGTTGAAGGAGAAAAATTTCAGTAGTACTATTCTATATGCACGATCGTCCAAGGTGTTGTAATTATTCGCCGTCGAACTAAAATATTCTCGCGCAAAAGAAATGCCAACCTAATTGAAATGGTTATTTCTATCTCTACGAAAAAAAAAATACGGAGAGAGTAAGGGAGGAGAGAGAGTGAAAAAGAGGCAATAATGCTATGTAGGATAGCAGACAGTGTCTTGCTTTTTGGGTACTTGGAGAATAATATGCTGTCTCTCTACGAGGATTGGTGTGATATGTGTATACACACCCACACATTTATATTCAAACAACAAATTATAAACACAAAATATGCATATATATTACTCTCTCTTCTATATGTCTTCTTTCCCTACCTTTTCCCTCTACTGCTTTTTCTTGAATTTCTGCTGCCTCTTGTCTCTCATTCAAACCTCTAGTGTTGAACAAAAAAGATAAACAAATTAATCTCTTTCTTTACCCAAAAATAAATATATGAAAACACAGAATTATGGTTCCCTTTAATTTCAATTTGCACGAAACCCATAAACTAAAATGGATAATGATCGACAAAAGCAAATACTTCATTCCTCTCATTTAAATAGCCCGACTTTCCTTATTTTCTTATCCCAATTATGTAGTCATGTTTCTTTATTGAGAATGTTCTTTTTTGTTCTTTTACTAATATACTTTTATTTAATTTGTGTTGTTATAACTAACTTTTCCTAATTTTTATTAGTTGTTGATAATTAAATAAGGGTAAATTAGGAAAAAATTTCGCATGCTTTTTCAATAACATTAAATAAGATTTCTTAATTCGTGTGAAAAATAAAATCAACATATATAAATGAGACGGAGGGGTATATGTGTTTGTATATATATAGTCGTGTCTTGGATAAAGATGATGTGGGGATTGTTCGGGCTTTTGGCTGGACTTTGAAAAACCAAAAACTAATACTAAGATTAACTTTTGAACATGTTTGAATAATTCTTCAACAGTGTTTTGTTTGTTTACATGAACATATGGTTGAAGCTTGCTACAAGAAGTAAAACTCTTGTCGATCGACCCTCCTTTTTTTATTGCAAGTTTTTAAAAATAACATTTAGAGAGAGAGAGAGAGAGAGAGAGAGAGAGAGAAATGATCTTAGGAGTATCGGTGTTTATCTTATACTAAGTACCGTATTAATTCATTCGTGAATAAAGATTTTGAGTTTCCCAACATTTGAATTAACCCCCTATTTGACAATCACTATTTTCAAACTCTTTTTTCTGTATATTTATTTTTAACTACACATTCACAAAATAAAATTTTTTTTACGAAAACTCAAAATTTTTTCTTACTTTTTAATAACCCATTTTCTTAAAAATTGCTATTCAAAACTCTATTTCCCCAAAAATAATGATGGTCAAAAAAAGACTAAATTTGTTATTCATCAATGAATTAATTGACACGTTATCAGTGCTTAATATAAGATGAACATCGTTGTTCATTAGATAATTCCTACCCCCCCCCCCCCCCCCCCTCTCTCTATAGATACCAAGTCATAATTAAAAAGTTATTTGGAAGGGTATAAAACAAAAGGGGAGAAAAGCATAAAAATCTATAAAAAATAGTACTATGAAGAATATAACAATGTTATAGGTCTGTCTCAACAGTGAACAACCCCCACAACCCCAGCCCACCCCCACTCCAGCCCACCCCACTCCACTAACCAACTTCATTATTTATATATCTATTCGAGGCGGTGTGATATCATTTGAAAATCTTGTCCATTTTGTGAACACAAGGTTTCTTGAAAGTCTCAAGAAATTATACAGGGTTATTAGTGAAGAAGAAAATTTGTGGGTGGGGTTATAATTTAAGGGGGAAGAGAAGGGCAAAAGATAAAGAGAGAAAATTTAGTTGAGTTTGTGAAAATAAGGAGTTTACAAATCTTGTGGGGGTTTGGGGGTGGCGTGTGGGCTAAGTTATGCGTGCAGGAGCTTGTGCATTGCAACAGACCCTCTCATTGGAGGCTGCTTCAGTCTTGAAGCACTCTCTTAGCCTGGCACGGCGGCGGGGCCACTCTCAGGTGACTCCTCTTCATGTCGCTGCCACCTTGCTGAGCTCAAGAGTCAGTCTTCTCCGGCGGGCGTGCTTCAAATCTCAGCCTCATCAAGCTTCTCATCCTCTTCAATGCAGAGCCCTTGAGCTTTGCTTCAACGTGGCCCTCAACCGCCTTCCGGCCACTCCTGGTCCGCTCCTCCACGGCCAACCTTCGCTTTCGAATGCACTGATTGCTGCACTCAAAAGGGCACAGGCGCACCAGAGGAGGGGTTGTATAGAGCAGCAACAACAGCAACCACTTATAGCCATTAAAGTAGAATTGGAACAGCTTATTTTGTCAATCTTGGATGACCCTAGTGTCAGCCGAGTTATGAGAGAAGCTGGTTTCTCCAGCACTGCAGTGAAAACCAATTTAGAGGACTCATCAGTTTCTTCTGTTTTTCAGTGTTACAACACCTCTGGTGGAATCTACTCGACACCAAGCTCTCCTCCAACTGAAACTCATAGGGAACTCACCAACCCTACCAGTTTCTTGCATTCACATTTTCTTTCTTACTCTCCAGAGCAAAATCCTCTTTTCTTTTCCCCACAAAAGAAACCTCTGAGCAACTATTTCTCCGATGCATCCCTATCTTCTTTGAAGGACGACGTGAAGGTTGTTCTTGATGTTTTTCTAAGGAAGAAAAGGAGAAACGCAGTTATAATTGGTGATTCTTTATCCATAACTGAAGGTCTTGTTTCAGAGATAGTGAGTAAACTAGAGAGAGGAGATATTCCCGAGTATATGAAACCAGCCCACTTCATCAAATTCCAGTTTTCATCAGTACCCCTCTGGCTTATGAAGAGAGAAGAAGTGGAGATGAATATTACAGACCTGAAAAGGAAGGTTGAATCTGTAGCACCAGGTGGTGGTGTCATTATCTACACAGGTGATTTAAAATGGACTATTGACACTGGTTCTGGTGAGAGGGATCCTAAAAACGCCTCTGGTTATAATCCAGTTGATGGTTTAGTTGAAGAGATGGGAAAATTGATTTCTTGGTTCAACAATTCAAGCAGAAGGGTTTGGTTAATGGCTACTGCAAATTATCAGACCTATATGAAATGCCAAATGAAGCAACCCCCACTTGATGTTCAGTGGGATCTTCAACCAGTTTCTGTTCCATCTGGTGGATTAGGGTTGAGTCTCAATGCTGCTACAAGGTGAGCCAATACACTTTTCTTTTTACTTGATTGTTAATTAATAATTCCAAATGTGATGTATTAAAGCTTTTCATTTGCATTCTTTTGATTTTATTTATTTATTTATTTGTTAAAAATTGGTTGTCTGAACTCTGTGAACAAGACCAGTGCATGACAGTGAAAAAGTAATATACTAACCTCTATTACTTTCTTGCTTTCTTTGTCTCTACATGCTGATCATGTTGGCTATTAGTTTGACAATACATTTTGTTAAAGAAAAAATGGGTTTTAGCACCAAAATTTAAGGGATTCTATTTGAATATGAGGCACTTTTTTATTCATTTGACCGATTTTATTTTCACTTTCACACTCATATAATTGATAAGGATGTAGTTGTTCTAGATCTAGTAATGAACCGGGAGCAGAAAAGAATTTAAATAGCCAAATCCAAAGTTACTGAGAACAAGTTTACTTTTTTTTTTGTTGTCTCGTACTTGTGTAATTATATTATTGTTTTGTGCAGTGTGAGAGATTCAAAAATTAGCTTCTCACAAAATCCATCAATAGTATCAGAAAAGGAGCCATTCTCTGGAGGGGAAAACGACGTGCTCAATTGTTGCCCTGAGTGTACCTCCAATTATGAAAAAGAAGTTGGCCTCAATTGCCAGCAGAAATCTTCTCTGCGCTCTAACTCTTGCGACAATAAGAACACAGAAAATGGTTCACCTCAATTACCTTACTGGCTTAAACCACGCAGCAACGATTCACCCGAGAAGGTAGTAATTAATTATTTTTCAAAAAATTCACTTCTGAGATTATAATTTGGCTTTAAGGTTTAACCATATTAGTTAAAATTTCAGGATGATTTGATAGAATCGAGGAGAAAATGGAACAGATTGTGCCATAATCTTCACCAAGGGAGGCCTAATCAGCATAACATCAGTTCTATTATAAGCAATCAGGGATACCTTGGGAGGAATTATCCCTACAGTTTGTCATATCCATGTTTTCCAAATCAGAATAGCATCTTTACAGAGTCGAAATTGGTGTCATTTGTTGATCCAATCGTGAAGCCTAATCCAAGCGTGAGTTCATTCCCTCGTTTCAGAAGACAGCAATCGTGCCATATCGAGTTTAGTTTTAGCAATGGAAGTCCCAAACATCAGTCAGTCGAACCAAATTTGGATTCTCTTAAGAGCACGGATGGTAAGGAAGTTAAAATCACCCTCGGCCTAGGGAATTCCATGTTTTCTGATGCAGTCACAAATGAGAGAACAGAATTGTGTAATGTGTTGCAAGAAAATGTTCCTTGGCAATCGGAAGTCATTGCTTCCATTGTAGGAACACTGACGGATTCAAAAGCAGTCAATGAAGATACATGGTTGTTTATTCAGGGAAATGACTCAATAGGGAAGAGAAGACTAGCTCTTGGAATAGCAAAATCAATGTTTGGATCTTCTGACTTCCTATTGTGCTTGAACACGAGAAAGAATATGAATACACCGAATCAGAACATTGAAATTCTCAAAAAGGCCCTGAGGAATCAAGAAAAGATTGTCATTCTAGTTGAAGATGTTGATTATGCTGATACCGCGTTGGTTAAGTTTCTTGGTGAACAATTTGAGGCACCGAATAAGAAAGAGAAAGATTCTAGTCACGTTGTTTTCATCTTAACAGAGGGTGGTTCTCCGGGATATGAAAATGCAGACTCTATAATTCAGATGAAACTGGTTGTCAAAGAATCCGTTTTCTCTTCAGGGATGCCTAATCTTAATCACAAGCGTAAAGAGGAGTGGGATTCACCTTACAGAACGAAGTGTCCTAGAAACACTGAAATGGAAGTTACCTCTCCAGAGGATCCAGAAAATGAGAAAAGGGACTTCTATAAGAGACAGTTAATCTCCAACATCCTCGACCTCAACATCAAAGCCGATGAGGATGAAGAGAGGGAAGGAAAACCGGTGGGACAGTTTGGAACCATTTCAAGTGACTGGACTCGTGAAACAACAACTGATCAACAAAACCTGTCAAGCTTCCTAGAAAAGATAAAAAACCGTCATGTTTTTAACATGAATTCCGATCAAGATGATCAAGCTAGAGAAATGTTCTTGTCCAAATTCAAGAGTTCTTTTCAAGAGACTTGTGGAAGTAAGAACAAAGGTGGTTTCTTCGTGGAGGAAATGGTGTTGAAAGAAGTTTTGCAAGGGTGTGGCTTATTCCTAAACAGCTTACTTGAACAATGGCTAAAAGACATTTTTCAAACAAGCTTGGTAATGGATGACAGTGCAAGTAAAGAGGGTGTTAGCATTAGGCTCTGTTTAGGAGAAAAAGGAGAGGGTGGTTGTGCAAAGAATGGATTCATGGGCACTTGTCTTCCTAAAAGGATCCAGCTTTGTTTCATAGGTTAAATGATATTGTAAAATGTTACAAGATCTTCATGTTCTGTAGCTTGTAATTAAAGTTGCTTAATAGAATGTCTGGTTTGTTTTCACAGCTTTCATCTCAGTTGAATCACTTTTTTTCCTCTTTAAACATGCACAAATTCATCATAACACCGGGATCTCACATTTGGACAGTAATAAAGAAGAAAAAGAAATTAAATTTTTTAACATTTACAACACTACATTAATCCAACTATATGTTCAATCTTAACTCTTATAAAATAACATACTCCAACTTAAAATTATACAAATAACAAGTTGTCTAATAAGATCCATTCACCAATATATAAAAATTACCAAAATATAAATAATAACACTAAAACATTAGTGTTATATCAAAAAAAAAAACACTAAAACATTAGTGATTTTAACTCATTGATTCCTTCGCTTTAGCCTCCAAGCCTTCAAATCTACATAAAATGGAGAAGACACAATCGCACCTTTATGAATTTAACAGCATCTAATAAATAGGAAGTTTTTCGTTTAGACACTTTTTTTTAAAACCAAAACAGACATGTACTCATAAAAAAAACCCTCACTTAAAGCGGAGGAAAAACCCTAGTTACAGCCCATGGACGAATAAATTTGACAAATAAAACTAAGCTCCTATCAATATAAACAACCACCGAAAAATAGCCTATCTTCTCTGACGAATGTACATCACACCCATCCTATCTAAGCGAATCAAATCAAGACAAAACCTTGGTAGTTCCCTACATGATAAGAACCATTATGTCTTGCCCTTCGCACCTAACTTCGCCAACTCATCCGCAACCCGATTAGCTTCTCTATACTGTTGCATGACTTGGAAGTCAAACTTCTTTAAAAGCTCAATTAGAACTTCCCAAAAATCCCACAAGTACCGTAGTGTACATTTCCTTGCCAAAATCCAAGGCACCACCAACTACGAATCACATTCAATATCCACCTGATATAATCCCAAATCCTGACACAAGGTCAGTCCATCATAAGCGCCCTCAATTCCGCTTCATTATTTGAACCATCTCCAAAAAAGGGCGAAAAACCTGCAGCCAACCTGCCCATATCATCCCTAACAACCCCACCACCACCAGCCATTCCTGGATTGCCTGAACAACTTCCATCTACATTAAGTTTTACTCTACCAATAGCAGGTTTAGCCCATTTTACAATCCGACAAGGTCTCTCGCGGGACACCATTGGAGTGATATCAAAGTGTCTAAGAAGCAATTTTTCCGACTGTGAAAGAGCTTGTTCCTTTTTTGGCTTGGACGACACATGTTGTAACCAGAATTTTATCGAGCGGAAAATCTCCTCCACAGTTTCATGAACACCCTCCATTCTAGCTTTACAACGTCTCATCCATAGTCTCCACGTCAATATAGTTGGAAGTAATCCATGTAAGCAACCAACCTGTGAATTTTTTGCCGCTCTAGCCCACCATAAATTAACTCTTTCATACTAGTTATGTTTAGATCTCCACCGTATGCCCAAAGCCACTGAGACTTTTCTCCAAACTTCATTTGCAGCCTCACATGTGCTCAGAATGTGGCTAGCTGTTTCTTCCATTCCCATGAGGCAGCAATCACAACGAGAAGCTAAGGCTACACCCATTTGCCGAACTCCATTATCTACACTTAAAGCTGCAAAAAAAGCCTTCCACATTATAAATGACATTCTTTTTTGGAGTGCAGAATGCCATACCCATGTTCCCCAAGGAGTTTGAGGATACCGGACTCTAATCATGTCCCATGCACTCTTGGAAGAGAAGGTTCCTTGACCACTCGGTTTCCAAATAAGAACATCATCCCCCTCTCTGCATTTACTCACATTTACCATAACACTCGCATCTTTGTCTTCCCCTACAAGTTGCAGTAATTGACTCACATTCAAGCTACTATCCAAGTAGACATCTTTGATTTTAAGAGTTGGTTGATCAATATGTGTTGTATGCCTTGACAAAGGGCCGTCGTCTAACCAATGGGCATACCAGAACGAGGTAGAACCCTCCCTAATCCACCATTGACTATTGTTAATCACCTCAGGAATACATCCCATAATAGAGCACCAGAGGCTCAAGATGGCGGGCCGTCAATCGACCTTGTACCGCTGGGACTCCCAAGTAAATAAACGAAAATTGGCCCTCCTTGAAGCTAGTCTCCTTAGTACTTCTTCTTTCTATGACACTGAACAATTTTTTGAGAAAAACATAGCAGACTTCTCCTTATTGATTTTTTGACCAGATCATCTCTCATATAGGCATAAAAGCTTCATGAGCTCTCTGATAGACATTTTCCTTCCATTGGCAAAAATAACTAAATCATTAGCATACATCAAATGAGATATCGCAGGTGTGTCCATAGGATGTGAAAAATATCCAATATTTCCCTTCTCAAAACCCCGCTTCAATAACCTAGTGAGCACATCTTCCATGATAATAAACAAATAAGGAGATAGAGAGTCTCCTTGACGAAGACCTCTCGAAGATTTAAAGAAACCCTGCATGGTTCCATTTATCATCACTGAAAACCATGGCATGGAAATACATTGACCAATTAAGTTACAAAACCTCATCGGGAACCCAAAGGATGATAAAACATGAAGTAAGAACTGCCACTCCACCCTATCATATGGTTTAGCCATATCTAATTTAATTATCACATTTCCACCACGAACTTTTTTATTAAGATAATTCACTAATTCTTGAGAGAGTGTAATGTTCTCAAAGATACTTCGACCCTGGATTGAAAAATAATCCTAGAAAGAATATCACTCATTCTCTGCACCAAAATCTTCGAAATTTTTTTATACACAACAGAAAAGGCGCATAGCACCTCTCCTTCCTCTTGAGACACTGTAGACTCAATTATATGTGATAAATTTGGCAAGCCTTCGCTATCCTTTCTTATAAGAAATGTCTCAAGGTATTTAACATCTTCTGAATGTATCTGCTGCGGAGTCGAAATAATAGTGCCGTCTGTCGGCTTGCTTTGATTAAAGTGGAGGAAATTCAATGAATCCCTATAAAAAATGGTAAGATGGAGATAGATGTAGCCGCTCAGTTTCTTTTCCTCCAGAAACGACAATGTAGCGACCGAGAATTTTAAATAATATAAAATTATTACCTTGAAAAACATGTCACTAAATTTTAACCCCAAATTTTAAATTGAAAGCGTGTTCGTCTAGCCGTTGTAAAATCAATTTAAAACTATTCAAGTCAAGTCAAGTCAAGTCCAATTCCGAATAATTTTAAAGTGTCCAATCCCTTATCATTTTAAAGCCAAATTTTGATAATTTTAATGTACAATATTTTATTATTTAGGGTCCAAATTTTAATAGCCCAAATCTGGGTTATTTTAGCCCAATCCACTTAGGCCCAATTAGGAAATATTCTTACAGCCCAACTAATTGGCCCAATTAGTTCCTAGAAATTTGTGCCCTAAATTTCTATTGTTCATATAACTCTCGTTTTCTCTCCTCCTCACAATCTCACACCTTCAAGCAGCCATTATTGGTAAGAATCTCCACCTCCCTCAATTTTCCCCTCAATTCAGTCCATTGTGAAAACTCATGTTGATGCTAAAATTGATTTTTAGCACCAACAGCAATCCCTCAAGATTGGAAACTCTAAATTATGCTAGAACATTAATTTCTAGCATTGTCACCGTGATGTTTTTCACACAAAATCGACACTAGACAAAACCCAGTTGCAAGGACACACGAGCTGCAGCCTCAACCCGGAACCACCATTCAAACGGTCCGGTAGATATCGAACCACCAACACCCAAGTTGCAGCCATCCAACCCTCAGTCGAGGAACCACCACACCAACACCACCATCTCCAAAACAACCACTGCAACACAGCACACGAACGGCAACTGCAACCCCGAAACTGACAACCCCTACACCCTAAAATCGACACCAAATAGTCCCTATTTTACCCCCAAAATCAACCCCAAACGGCCCTAAAATCAAGACCTAATTTAACCCATAAACTTACCTTAGTCCCCAACCCATTTTTCAACCAGATTACGCCAAGAAACCCAAATGAAAATCGAACCTCCAAGCCTCATTTTAATCTTGAGTCGTGCACCAAAATCCCCGTCGCCTCCACCCACGCACTAGCGCCACCACGCGACGATGGTCGGAGCTTCCCCTTCTCCTCTCTGCTCGTTTTCGAAATGGGTGAGAGAGAGAGAGAGAGAGATAGAGAGAGAGGTGTATATTATTTTGTATATTTTTTATTTTTGAAATTTACCCCTTAAGCCCCAGGTTTCGAAAGTTATTTTATTTCGGTCCCAAGGTTTTAGATATAAATGAAACGGTCCCTAGAGTTCTTATTTCCCGCAGTTAGCCTTTCGCAGTTAGCCCACTATTTTCGACAAGTCGAATTCCAGTCCTTAAAATTTTCAATTTCAGTTTCATCAATTTCAAATTAAGCCCCTGAACTTTATTTATATCATATTAAGTTATTTATTTCAGTCCCAAAGTTTTAGTAATTAGTAAATCAGTCCCTAGAGTTCTTGTTTCCCACAATTAGCCCATTATTTTGAAAATATTATTTTCAGTCTTTAGACTTGTCAAATTTCAGTTTTAACATATATCCAATTAGGTCCTAAACTTTATTTTATCACTTTAAAACTTTAAATTTTCGAATACTAATTCAAAACTTATTTTCTATTTTGGCTAGACGAAACGTACGAACGATTAGGAGATTGAGGTTGCTTCCCGCTCCATTTTTCACATGACTTGAGATAAATTGAGGTAGATTCGCCTCCATTAATTAGTTTAAATTATAATTGCATGTATTATGTGACTTTATGTGATTTATATGCTTTAATGCATAAGACGAGAATATCTCCTATGTGATAAATGATGTGGTTATGATTAGCATGATTTATATGCTTTAACACATGCGATGAGACGAGACTATCTCTTATGAAATAATATGATAATGTTATGCATAACTTATGTGCTTAAATGAACGAGACGAAACTACTCACACCCTACGATTTTAAAGAGCCTATGATTTTTAAAGACAATGAGCATATGATGATGATGTCACGGTATAAATTGCATGATTACGTGTTCAATTATTCTGTAAATTAATTATTGGCGATGAGTTTATCCCATTATTTTAACCACATTTGTAGATCTCAGAGACTGACGGTATTGATGGGCAGTGGTGGCAACGATTTAATGGATGAAGTTATTTACTTTTGAAATTTACATATTTGAACGTTATTAACGTACTTTGTCATTTCAATTATTTCAAAAACTTGAGATTTAAGGTTTAATCAATTTTCTTAAATTAATCAAATGAGTTTTGTTGTCGACAAGGTTTTATAATTATAAATGTGATGTTTAAAATTTAGTTATTTTCGCGAATATTTTTAGTTAATTCAAGACAAAAGAGGATGACGTGGCACTCCGGGTTCACGGAACTCGGGGCGTTACAGACAAAATGCTGGAGATTTGATAAAAACTCATGTCACTTTTATTCTTTGAAATTTGAATTAAAAAGTTAGACCTGGGTTGAAAACAAAAAAATAAAAATAGAAAATGATATTTTGGATTTGGGTTCAATTGATCAGTTGCCAAATTTATTTAGTAAAAAATTAAAATAATTTGGCTTATTTAATA